GGGAGAACCCCATGAGCCAGCTGGGATCAGGGCAGCTTCTGAGATGATCTGAGAACATAAAAGAGCCCAAGGGCAGAAGTGGGATCTGAAAAAGGAGTTAAAATAAGGGCTTGGAGGGCAGCTCATAGACAGAGTCCCGTATCCTCCTTAGGCCACTGGGTCAGTCTCCAGCATACAAAACAAACGTAATAGACAAAAAGTCAACAAAAATAGAAAAGAAACAATGACTGCTTCTTGCCTCACATCCTGCTGGTGTGAAAGATTTTAGTTCGACCAAAGAATAATAATATTTCATAACAAATTAGTCTTCAGCATTTCGCATTCCTAGTCATTTTCAATATTTTCACATTCCATGGAGTCAGGGGTGGGGAGGATGCCAGGGTTTTGTTAATATGTTTTGTGAAGTGAATCTCTTAACACAAATTTCTGAGCTGCATGGAAGACTCTATTATACAGAATTGCAGACAGATTTTCCTAGCACGTGCTGTCGCAGATGTCCGAGATTACGTAGGCTTATTAGAGTTAGTGACCAGAATACCAAGAACTTTGAAGGCCCACAGCAGACAAATCAGCTTTGATATTTAATGCCACACTGCCACCTTCTGGTACATTAGACAAAAAAGGCACATTCCTCAACTCAAACTGCTTAGGAGATTGTGATGGACTAAATAAATGATCTCCTGCTCATTCTTTTGGATGCGTTTGAATTCTTACACAGATGTCAGATTTCTCATCTGGGAGACGGTATGGAGCGGTATCATGCCGGGTCCATAATCATTGTTTAGAGGGGTCCTCAAATCAGAACTTTGACCCCGAATTTTGACATGTAGAGGCATGGGAGAGACTTGGATGTCAGAGTGGGTGGAGTCACAGATCACTGTGCACTTGGAGGTCAGCCCTAGTGTTAGCGTGTGTGTCAAAAGCCCAAGTTCCCCCTTTTATGTTGGCTTCTGGGTTATCGATTTCTTCCCAACAAGTGGGCACTCTTATGCTAGAAGCCTGCTGACAGCAGTGTTCATGCTGACTGATACAGGGACACCTGATGGGTTGCTAAGAGACACCATCCCCTTCATGAACATCCCCTTCAGTCTGTCTTCTCCCAGAGTTCTTTGCCGTCCTTCCCTTATTGGCAGTGTTTCGTGCCTATGCGGCCATGCTGTATGGGATTCACCCATTGCCAGAGTTTGTTAGGATCAGAGAGTCTGGGCCCTGGTCCTCAAGAGGACTGCTGAGGAGGACAAGGTGCAACTCTCAGAAAAGTGACCTGGTGACTGTGATGAGAAGAGCAATGGAGGGGTCCAGTGACATCCAGGGGGTCCTGATGTGAGATTTATATTTAAAGAGAAGACAAGAAATATACATCACTAGGCTGTCTTAGTCAACCATCATGGTTTCCGTGTTGTGAGAGCCGTGTGAGATGTCTTTCCGGGAGACAAGATCCACACTTTGACGGGCACCAAGGTTGCAGCCTCTTCCTCCTCCAATAAGAATGAAATCCTTGGAGGGAATTTCAGTTCCTGGAGATCCACCCTTTCAGCAGTCTCACAGACAGAGAGAAGGGCACAGCGTCTCTCTTAAAAACACCGTTGTTCCTGTCCGATGCTCACCCATCCCTGCTGGGCCATCCCGCCAAAATGCTGACCCACAGAGATCACTGATAACTGTTTTCATCTCTATCCACTCCTCAAAACCTTACAGCACCATAAGATGAGAGGGGCCTCACCTCAGTGAGGAGAAGAGGCAGCGGTAAACCAAGGGAACTTGAGCAGTTTGGGTGGCCATGGCCCTGCTCAGGCTTCACCTCCACAGAGGAGCACTGTTTCCCAAACAGGTGCATAGAGGATTCGATGCCACCTGTGTCCCTGGTTGTCCCTTCCCAACACATCCTGTAGGCCACCAACAGGGTGATTTTAGGGACGAGTCATCCTAGCTGTGGGCCAAATGGCCAAGCCTTAGTCTACCAGGAAGTCACGTGCCTTGTGCCTTAGCACAGCCAGAGGAGCGCAGCTAGGGGAGGGCTACTCAGGGACAATAAGAGCCAAGGAAGGACAATGCAGGATTGACTTTGAAGCTCCATGTTTGAAGGTTAGAAAGAGCTGGCCCTCAGGCCTGTAATTCCACCTACTCGCAAGATTGATGGGGGAGGAACATACATTCATGGACTGCCTGAGTTTAAAGTCAGCCCAAATACCTTAATGAGATCTGGTCTCAAAATAAAAGGACTGGGCTATAGAACTCTGGCAGGACACTTCCTTCAAACGCATGGGGTGCAAGTCTCAGTAAACTAAAACCAGGGAAACTCCACTCCCCAACCCTCTCTTCTCTCTGTGGAGTGAAAGGTCAGAATTTTGACAGCTTCACTTAAGAGCTCTGTGGGACAACCTCTATTCTGGTTTCATTGTCTTCACAATGAAGTGAGAGGCACCCACTCTGTCTAGGTTGCTGAGACGCTTAAAGCAAATCATAGCCAAGTTTAGCTAATGGGAGCAGGATAGTGTGCTCGCCAAGAGCCTGGGCACTAGGCAAGGCTGCCTAGCTCTCGGTGTCAGCCACGCAGGTTAATTCCTGTGTGTGTGGTCTTGAGACACACATTTCAGGTCCCTCAACTGTATAAGTTCGGATAATAATACCCACCTACAAGATTGCTTTAAGAAATCTGAAAGTTTAAAATGCTTGGCACATTACATAAGAACCTATTTAATTATAAAAGAAGGCGACGCATTTAATTCTTGGTGTGCAATGGAAACTCGGCTGTGTTTGATAGCTGTTCTGTTTTGTCATGGCGCTGGTCAGGCTGTTCAGTCAGTTCGGGAGTCACTCGCGAAGACGCGCAAAGCCTGATTTGCTCCCGTCTTTTATTAGGGAATTTTATCACTTCTAATTTAGACCGCGTCTCCCCCAAGGTCAGCACAGAAAGAGTCACCAACCAGGACCAAAAACAAAAGCAAGCAAACAAACAGGAAAACCAAACCAAACCAAACCGAATCAAACCAAACCAAAACGTTCCCGAGGAAATCCCTTTTATATTACTCATGTTATAAAGGACGAACAAAGAACAAAATAAAAATTAGGTGTCAATTTCTGAGGGGGAGGTGTGTGTGGTGTATGTGAGTGCGTGTGTATGAGTGCATGTGTGAGTGTGTGTGTGTCTCACATGCCACAGCATGCATGAGGAGAGGACAATTTGCTGAGCTGGCTCTCTCCCTTCTGCCTTTATTTGGGATCTGGGATCTTTCCCCGGGATCTGGAATTAACCCCTATGCTGTACCATCTGTTCCAGATGGGGGAGATTTCTTCTGTGGTCCTCTCAGTTCCTAGAGAAGAGCGCGCGCCCATGTGTAGAGGGATTCCTTTCTATTCTTCGCACTCCTGTGGTATTAATTACTTCAAGAAAACAGGGCGCTTCGTGGTCCTGGCTGACCTCGGCAGAATTTCCCTGCCCTGCGACAGTCGGTCCCTCCTTCTTGCCCTCACCCCGCTCTGAGTTTCCCTTCCTGCTAATTGTCTGTCCCCTCTTTTGGTACAAGTCAGTACCTAATCTGAAAAACACAGGGTGAAGGGCGGAGGCATGCCTCTGAGCGGCCACAGGGACAGCGCAGCTGCTTTGGTGGGCAGCAGTTGAAGATTTGGAGGGAGGGCAAAGGACTCTTTGGGCTGACTTTTTTGTTTTTTGAGGCAGGGTTTCTCTATGTAACAGCTGTGGGGGTCCTGGAATTAACTCTTGTAGACCAGTCTGGCCTCGAACGCACAGAGATCGCCTGCTTCTGCCTTCCCAGCGCTGGGATTAAAGGCCTGTGCCACGACCGTCTGACTGCAGGTGTAATTTTAAGAGGAGCAAAGGGTGTGTGTGTGTGTCTGTGTTGGCCTGGGCTGGGATATGGTGGTAAAGGAATAGGACGGAGACGAGGGAGAAGGAGAAGGGAAACGGGACAGAGGAAAGGGGCAGGATATTTGCGAAGGACAGCCTCTGGGTAGAGACACAGACGTGGCATGCAGGCAAATGGCAGTTTGTAAAGACATGGGTGTTTCATTTTAATTGGGCATGTTAATTGGGTGAATCAAAGGGAGCTTTTGATTGCTGGACTTTGGTAGTCAGCCTCAGGCAGAGGAAGTGGTCAAAGGAGGGAACAGATCTTGGTGTCTAGCTTTAGGAATGTGAACTAATGGTTGTTAGCAAGGCAGAGGGCATGGGGAGGAGGGCGAGGCCAGCCAGAGCCACAGTTAGAGGGAGCTAGTGTCCTTCAGACCCAACTGCAAGAAGTTTTCCTCTGCTTGTGCTGGTCCATTCTCTCTCTCTCTCTCTCTCTCTCTCTCTCTCTCTCTCTCTCTCTCTCTCTCTCTC